CATTTAAAGCTGATAAAATCAGGAATTCTGCCTCCAGGCCAATCTCTTTACTTTGTGTTTTTTTCCCTCCGTGTCCTGGGAATGGGTCACACCCTTATGTGTAGCATTTCCGCCTAGAACAGTTAGCGAGAGGGAAATCGATTGCTTCAGCCAGCCTGTTTCCTTCTTTTGCAGTGATGCTTCTGCCCTCTCCTGGCTGTTTCCGTGCATGATCAGAGAAAATGTTTTTTTTTTTTTAGTTTCCCTAACACACACACACACACACACACGAACAACTTGAAGACTCGCTTTTGTTCACCAGCGTGCAGGGCTGAATGCATTGTGTCAACCCGCAGCTGAATGATAGCAGTTAAAAGATCTGGGGACTCTAGAAAGAGTGCAGAGAAGAGCCACAAAGAGGATTAGGGGGCTGGAGGCTAAAACACATTGCAAAGAACAGGAACTGGGTATGCCTAGTTGAATGAAAAGAAGGACTAGGGGAGACATAATAGCAGTCTTCCAATATCTCAGGGGCTGCCCCAAAGAAGAGGGAGTCAAGCTATTCTCCAAGGCACCTGGGAGTAGAACAAGAACCAATGGGTGGAAACTAATCAAGGGGAATAGCAATTTAGAACTAAGGAGAAATTTCCTGATAGTAAGAATAATTAATCTGTGGAACTGCTTGCCTCCAGAAGTTGTGATTGCTCCAACACTGGAAGTTTTTAAGAAGATGTTGGATAATCATTTGTCCGGAATAGTATAGGGTCTCCTGCTTAAGCAGGGGATTGGACTAGAAGACCTCCAAGGTCACTTCCAACTCTATTATTCTATTCTATTCTATTCTATTCTATTATTCTATTCTATTCTATTCTATTCNAAAAAGCGGGACTCTCGTTCTCATGGCCTCATCTCCAGAGCAGGGTGTGGCAAATGGGAAATCCTTTATTTTAAGGCATCCAAGAGGACTCTGGGAAAGCAGAAAGCAGGTTTTGACCGTGTAGACAGAACAAGGAGTTTTAAGGTTTTCCGTGCTTTGCACCTAAGCCCTCGCAGTCTGCAGGTGACTCTTTTCAAATTTGCAACTGAGAAGCGATGAGATGCAGAGCCGCTGCAGACAGTTTACAAGTGAATTAGGAGCGCAGCCGTTCTTTTTGTTCTCTGCGCCAGCAAAATCCTCAGAAACAAACAACAAAAAAAGAACATTTGGCTGCTGCTCTGCCTAATCGGGCGGCAGCTTATGGGGATGATACGCGCTTAAATCCAACCCTTTGATTTTCACTAGGGCTGGGGATCAAGTCGACTTTCTGCATAAGTGGGATGGGCTTTTTTTTTTAAAGCAATGCTGCAAGGGTTGTGAGTGTGAAACTGATCGTGTCCCTTTTTGATGGGCACTAAGCGAATGGCTGTAAGTCGAGGACTACCTGTACGGTGGTTGCATTTTCTGGCTTCTTTTCTGCATGGGGCATTTACGCTGTCCATCCTCTGCGTGTTTCTTTTCTTCACAAGTTGTAGTAGTTTGTTAATGGGTGCTATACTGAGTGGTGCGGTGGCTTAGAGGTGGAGCTCTCGCCTCCCATTCTGGAGGCTGTGAGTTCGATCCTAGGTAGAGGCTGATGTTTCTCTCCCTGGGCATAATGAGAATGTATCTGCTGGAAAAAAGACTCTGCTGTGGTGACAGGAAAGGCATCCGGCCAATAAACCCTCAGCTCCATTCAGTTGCCCAAGACTCCACCCCGCAAGGGATTAGGGGGTCATTAAAAGAAGATGATTACAGGGTAGTATGTGGCTATGCTCTGTAGTGTAGCTTCCGCTCTTTCCAAAGACCCCAGTTGGCCAAGCAGCCACGGGAATTCCAGCCCCTAACTGCTATCCCTTGCTGCCGTTTGCATCCCAACAGCCGCATCTGTGGCCCACTTGGTGTCAGTCCAGCCCAGCCTGACGGCTCTTTGCCCATTCACCCTGTTTTGATTTCTGCAGTCTCTCGCATCAACGGACACCCGAAACTTGACCGACTCTGGGAGCCTCCGCCCGGTTACGATAGCTCCTCCACCGTCATGAGCAGTGAACTTGAATCCAGCAGCTTTGTGGACTCGGACAATGAAGAAAACACCAGCAGGTAACACAAGTCCTAAGCCCAGCCCACTTTTTCCAGGAGCATTTCTCAGACCTCACCTGGGCAACGGTGGGTCCTATAAATATTTCGGAGCACGGTTGCCAGTGTTGTGGTCCACCAGCAGGCAGCGGAGCCGGCAGCAGATTCGGACAGTGAAGAGATTGGGGAGGAACCTGGGCCAGTCCTGGAGTCTGGGGAAGGCTCGGATGAGGTCTCTGTGTTGGAGGCAGAGAGGGGGCCAGGGCC